CACTGGAAGCAGCAGGGTTACCCTGTTGTTAACCTCTTGGGCTTCCCCTGTGTCCGAGAAGCTATTCCCAGGACCCTCTAGAAGCTGTCCCATGGTGTCCAGCTCTGCACCTCCTCATGTTGGTGTCGTGCTGAGTGTGACCCCTGAACATCACGGTCCTGTGTCACCTTGCTCCCAGCCCAGCGTGGGCAAGCGTTGACACTGCCCCGCTCCAGCCCAGTGCAAATCAGCTGCTCCCTGAAAACCTGCACCCCACATTCTCAGCTGATGTGAATCGGAGGTGACCTACAGGAGCAGGGGAAGATCCTGGCAGTCAGGATGGGTCCTGTAAGCTGGGTGCTGGGTGCTGGCTGGGCAGAGCCTCGCTGCTCTGGGGACGCCCGTGGTGCCATGCCCTGCCTGGTGCAGAGTCCTGGCAGCAGTGCCATCAGCAGACAGCGCCCGGGAAGCCTGACCCTTTACACCACAACATTTCATTAACCACACTCCAGGCGTGCCCAGCAAAGCAATGCAAAGCTCTGAGTGGGGAAAGTGCCTGCAGCAAATGGGCAGGAGAGGGAAAGCAAATCAGCATAGAAAACATTTGTAGAGGTGTCCAAGGGTGGCTCTGATTTCATCTCAGCAGCAGAGGATGTTTTGTCTGTGACAGTGCTGGATTTGGGCAAGAATTCACCGTGGAGCCCTGGTCCAGCTCACCCAGCTCTTGGTTTTGGAGAGCATGGGCAGTTCAGACAGGTTTGCCAGCTGGAAAGCAAAGCCAGGCTTTACGTGTGTCTCTAACATTGGCCAGTAAGAGAATTGGCTCTGGTCTCCTTCATGGAGGACGACTCCCATGGCTGAGCATCCTTTCGACAGCGCTGTGATGGTGTCGGGCTCGGAGCAAAACCAGGTTTGTTTGTGTGAGAGGGAGCATTTTTGAACAGCCTCTATTGTGGCTATTAGAAATCACGGCTCAGCTTTTGGGCTCGAGAGACTTGGGTGTTGAAAACTCATCTCATAGAAGTTGTTGCCTCTCTTTATAGCCCTCGGTTTCTTTGTGCATGTGCATAATATTCTCCTTGTGGTCCCAGCTGGGTGATGAGGCACCGTGGGGACACAGTCCCAGTGTCACAGCTCTGTCCCATGGGTGCTGCTGGCCTTCCTCCCCTCATTGCCTCCCAGCTCATCACTCAGACCCTCCTGGCCACATCCACCTTTCAGTTCTGTGGGTCAAAATCTGCAATGACTGGGGCATCAATTCCAATTTTCCCTAAAGACTTGGAAAATTTGGCTTCTTTCTCTTTTGGGCACTAAGCCAGAACTGAGAACTGTGAACATTTCAGTTTGGGGAGGGCGTGGAGAGGGACTTGGCACCAGACCTGTGCCCAGGCAATGAATTAAATGTGATATGTGGCGACAGGCAGAGCCAGCATGCAGAGTAGATGTTCCTTGGTCATTTGAGCTCCATGGTCTTCAGCGAGTTAAGCGTGATTCTGGGGGCAGAGGACCCAGTGCATTGATGGAAGATTTGGAAGACCTGTGAGTCTAGTATGTTTTATCTACTTTGTGTTATTTGTTTTCTGCATGAGGAGTTTTTGCTCACTTACAGCTGGACCAAGCATTTTTATTCACTTGGAGAAGATCAGCACGAGAAGATGGGGTCCTCAGGCTAAATCCCCATCCCTGCAACCTCCCTGCTGCCTGAGGCACTGCTGCTGGGCTGGATCTGCATCCCTCCTAAGCACTTCAGTTCCAGTTAGACTCTGATCCCTTTTTTTTTTTTAGGGAAAAAGCATCCTGTGTCCCTACTCCCTCTGTAATCCAGTCAAAATGAAAAAGATTTTGTCTCCTAGTGAGATGCTAGAGCACAGATCACCTTTGTATCTTTTCCTTTCTTTTCTCTTTTTCTTTCTTTCTTCCCTCTTTTTCTTTCTTTCCTCTTTTTGTTTTTGGTGTTTAACCATAGGTACTTGCCAGAGTATAATTATGAAGATTAAAATGCATAAACAAGGTCTTGCATAACGATGAAGATACTGTCAATAGCAGGGGGAAGAATGAGAAGCAGATCTGATTATTTAATCAGGTGATGCTCTGTTAAAATGCCCCTTAGGGAAGGGGGCAGCTGGCAGCAGGATAGGGCCTTCAGGTGAGTTTTGTACTGTGATGTGCTCCTGGGGAGGACCCTTAGTCACAGGGCTGGGCTTTGACCTCCTCCTCTTCCACTGTGCTGTTGTCCTCCCCTCCAGGGAGGTGCCATGGCAGACTGCTCCCCATCCTGCTCTAAGGACAAATTCAGCCTTCCAAGGCCAAGCTGTGGGCTGCAGTCCCCTTTATCTTATTCCCCAGAGTCTTTTCCAGACCAGCAGCGTGCTGTGTGGCTGGGTACAGGGTGCGATAATGGGAACGGACTAATGTCCCCAAATCACCCTCTCTCCAAGCAATTTATGGGACACCACATTGCTTTGCAGCATCAGGGATGCTCTGCTGCCTCTGCAATCACCTCCCTGGCAGAGCTGGACCACAGCTCTCTGGAAATCCTTCTCTGAGGTCTGCCCCGGGAGAGGGGCTGAGGGCTGTGGTCCTCTCGGTGTGCAAGTGCTGCAGCTTGATGGGTCCTCAGCATCTGCTGGGTATGGGGTGGCTGTGCTCTGCCAGCAGCTGCTTGTAGGGCACACCAGCCCAGAGCAAGGCCCCTAGGGGTGCGAGTCTGGATTAGCCCAGTGCATGAAGCTTTTTATAGCTTATTTATACTGCTTTCCATCCCCCCCCCCCAGGAGGTTCATTCAGAAATAAAAGGGACTTGAGCTGCTTCCCTCCTGAAGTGCTGCCCAGGGATGTCAGGCAGTTCTGTGGTGTACTTGAGCATCCCCCTCCTAGGTGGGTCAGTTCTCCCACTGCCTGGCTGGAGGTCTTTAAAAGGATCAGTGAGTGTTTGTGCTGGTGTTGAGTGTGCTGCTGGCAGAGCTCGTTAAGGCTAATGAACCCAGAGTGCTGCTTTTTCTCTTGATTAGGCAGGAGGTGAGCAGGGGATGGAGAGCTGTAGGGTGCTGCTTGTCCAGAGCAGGTGACCCTGATCTGCTGGGACCCAGTTGGGGATGGGAGTGGGGGGAGATGGGTGGGGGTTAGGTGCCCATCTGCTCGGGGGAGGGCTGATCCTCCTCAGAGCAGGCAGAAAAAACCCTTTGCTTTTGAGCTGCCTGATGCTGAGAGCAAGGCTGCCCTGGGTCTGGGGCTCCGGGGTGCATTGGCTGTGTGAGAGCAACGTTGGAGCTGCTGGGATGGAGGCAGGCAGCTTGTGGGGTCTCGTGAAGGTGCCGTGCCTTGCCCAGGAGCCTCTCTGGGCGAGCCCGGCCATGCCATGCTGAGAGAGCAGGGACCTGCCCTGGCAGCTTCTCCAGCAGATCTCCCCAGGGGAGCCCAGTCCCTCTTGAGCTGCTTGACACTGTACCTCAGCTCTCCACAACATCTCGTGTAGCTAATGAGTGCTTGGAAGCATGTTCTTTTATTTGCCAGCCCTTTCCAGCAACAGATAATTGCAGTGCTGGCACGGCGTAGCCCAGCCTGCACGTCTGGCTCCTAATCCTCTGCCTTTCAACTACACAGCCATGATCAGACAGAGGGCCGTGGTGGTGCTTTGCAAGCCTTCCTCTGGAAAAGCCTGGGCTGGGTGTTGGATGGCTGGGCTGTGTTTCTGTGCACAGCTCCTGAGCCCTGTGGATAATGCTGGGACCTCGGAAAGGGGAGCTGATGGTTCCTGTCCTTGGTGCTTTGCTGCCCTTCAGCTGGGGGATGCTGAGAGGCAGCAGTGCCAATGGGCACCCCAAAGGGATTGCCCAGCTCCTGTCCTGCACAGGATTTACCTGTTTGAAGACAAACCTGTTGTTTCATGAGGCTGGCTGGCAGTTGTCTTTTCTTCTTTTCCTCCCCCTTGGAATTTTCCTTGGGTTTGTCCAGCTGAGCTCCCAGTAGAGCTGTGGCACCTGGCAGTGGCTTTGCCTATGTGCATGTCAGAGGGTCCTGGGCCTTCGTGGTGCAACTCTGAGCATCTCAAAGTGGTGGAAGGAGGTGTCTATCCTCAGCCAGTGTGCTCTGCTTGTGTGCCAGGGAGAGGAGAAGGTTTGGCTTTATGCTCCATGGTGCACAATAATCCTGCTTCTCGTGCAGAGCTCCTGCTTTCTCACCCTCCAAAAAAGTTCCTGGCCTGAGCAGGAGCAGTGCTGAGAGCTCCTGCCTCTCACGGGGGTGTGACCAGGAGCCTGGCTGGGAGCGACGTGCGGGTCGGCATCCTGCCCGTGTGTCCCTGGGAGCCCCTTTCCTGCCCGCCCGGACACACAGAGTGACAATGGGATGGTCCCAGGTCACCGTGTGTGCTGCCAGCACAGGTCCCTCCTCCTGCCGTGCCCAGGGCTGCCCCTGCTGTCACACGAGGGCAAATGCTGGTGGCCTAGTTACGGGGAACAAAAGGCCTTTAAAAAAGGAGGGTTTGGTTTTTTAGATCCTTTGGAGGAAGGGCAGGTACGAGGTCTCTCTTTTCTCTGGAGCCTCCTGAGAGGCAAATGGGTATTGTGTATTGTGGTGGATCCTGTGACCTGGGACACGGGGCTGGATCTCGCGGAGCGTTGTCAGGGCAGTCGTGGTCTGGCTCAGCTTTCCCACTGAAGCTGCAAGTCCTCCACTGCCCCTCGAGGCTTGCCCATCGGAGCAGGCTGCAGGAATTTCACAGGGTGTTCCCCAGCCAAACCTGCCTGCTCAGTGCCAGGGTTTGGGCAGGAGCACACATGGGTCTGGCTGTGGCTGGGGTGACATGCTGGTGTGCCGGGGCTGCAGGGATGCTCCTTGCCCAGGCTGGAGAAGGTGAGCCTCAGGGATGGAGCAGCTGGGAAGGAGGCAGGGATCATCCTGGCTGACACTCCAAACCAAGGCAGCTGGTGCGGGGGGGTTACCCCAGGGTGGGGGGGCTGTCCCGGGAGCAGGCACGGAGCTCCTCACACCTGGCTACAGCTCTGCTTTCCCTCCTGCAGGATATTCGTGCTGGGCATTGGCTTTTTCACCCTGTGCTTCCTGATGACGTCGCTGGGCGGGCAGTTCTCAGCCAAGCGCCTGGGGGACTCGCCCTTCACCATCCGCACCGAAGGTAACGGGGCTCCGTGCCCACCCCCTGTGCCCGGGGTCCAGCCGAGCTGCCCAGCACCAGGGCTGCTGGGGAGGGGGTCTTTGGATGCCTCCCTTTCCACCGAGGCGTATCCAGGCACGGGGGGGATGCTGAACTTTGCTCGACCTGCTAGGGGGTGGATGCTGAGCCTTGCTCGCAGCATGGGATGGGAAACCACCAGCAACTGGGGCTGGCAGGATTAGACCTTCAATTGCTGGCAGTGGTGCAGGTTGCATGACCTGCACCCCATCTGGTGGGGTGAGGGTTTGGCTTGGGGGCCTGGAGGGCTCTGTGGTTTTGGGCAGTTTTGGTCTGCAGGTTGTGGGAATTGCTCCCGAGGGATGGGAAAATAAAAGCCTTTGTGGTTTTGTGGAAGTACTGAAATGTAGAAGAGAATATTTTGGGTTTTAGCAAGTTGTGCTTTCTGTTATGTTTTTTAAACCACCTTTTGGGCAAGATGTGCAGTAGCTCAGGAGACAGCTTCCACAGTGGGAGGGTCGTGTCCTGCCCTTGCTCTGGGAGGAGGCTGCTGCACTGAACTGAGCTTCTCTCTGACTTTTCCTCTGTGGTCCCATCCTGGAACAGCACAATGGAATTGCACAGAGGGAGATGTCCAGCTTGAGCTCTGGTGAGCAGGGTGAGATAGGCTTGGTCAGGCCACTGTGGTCTTCTACTCTCTACCAAAGGCATGAGGGTAACTGAGCTCGCCAGCCCCAGCTGGAATGTGATTTTGGGGCATTCAATCCTTTCCTTGCAGTGCTGGAAGAAGCACTAGTTGCTTTCCTACAGAAGGAGAGGACTGAAGTGGTGGTTTCCAGAAGTCAGGTGGTGCTTGTAAACTGCTTAGTTGACTTCCAGAGAGATTAATGTGCAGCCTGAGGTTTTGCTTTCTCCCCTGTGAATGGAGCACACGGTGGCTGGCGTTTCTTCCCTGTGCTCCCCTAATTGTTCCCATCACCAGCTCCATTAAGTCCCTTCTCCAAGGGACGGGTGCTTGCCTGGCTGACCTCACCCTGAGTCAGAGCAGGTTGCAGGATTGGTGCCTTTTGGCATTTTCTGCATGTTTTACTGTGGTTGGGGAGCCTGCCCCTGCAAGGAGGGTGGGTGCTATGTTAATGTCCCTGTCCCCGTGCCAAGCACAGCTCTCAGGATGGCTGGTGAGTGAAGGCTATGGGGCATTTCTTCCTTTTTGGGATGAGAAGCAGCATGAGAAGAGAGTGGGCAGAAGCCCCTGACCGCCACCTTCTCCAGACTTGGCTTTTAAGGAGAGGGGTCCTGAAAAGATTCCTGAGTTTGGGTTAAAAGGTGTCACTTGTTCCAGCTGCCCTCAGTCCTGGGGAAGCCCCAGTGCCCCCAGGGAGCTTGCAGGACAGTGGAAGAAAGGCAAAGAGGGACTGGTGAACTGTGGGACCAGCCTGAGCTGTGAGGTGGCCCGGGGCATGCTGCAAACAGCAGCAAGGGCTTGCAGAAGTCCCAGGTCCCATACCAGAGGACTTTAAAGTTGTGGTGAAATGATGACAGGCAGATAATTATTCATCTTTTTTATCCCCTTTCTGGATGCCTTGGAGTGGAGTAGCTTTCCCCATCCTTGCTCTTGTCATCATTTTGTCCCAGATCTTGAGTATGGGAATCGGTGGACTCACAATGCCTCTTGTTTAATGGGCACAATGTCATAGAATCCCTGTGGTTGGAGAGGACCTCCAGCATCATCAAGTCCAACGTTCCTCCCAACATTTTCCTAACCACTAGACCACAGCCTCAAGTGCTGTATCTACTCGTTTTTGGAACCCCTCCAGGGATGGTGACTCCACCACCTCCCTGGGCGGCCCGTTCCAGTGCCTGAGCACTCTCTCAGGGAAGAAATTCTTCCTAATTTCCAACCTAAACCTTCCCGTGTCAGCACAGTCCTGGGCTGGATCGAGAGAAACCTCCTTTGTGAGTCTCTCACACCTCTGAGTCCTCCACAGTTGCTGCTTTGGGTGGCCAAATCAAGGTGTGTCAGTGGGTTCACCTTCCTGCCTGTGGGCCCCTGGCTCTGGGAGGGCTGTGCTGCCAGCTTGCCTTGCCTGCTGCTTTGCTCCAAGTGTCTGGATGCTGCTTCTGGTAATGGCTGGCTGGTCTCAGATAAAGAAGAAAAAAGATTTATGACCGAGGTCGTGTAATTTCTCAAGCTTTAGGTCTCTTAGGTCCATAACTGCCTAAGGCAGGTCCTGCATTGTTAGAAAGCTCAGAAGTTCAGTGGAAAATAATTTCTTTTTCCTTTATTGGATGGATTTGCCAAGCAAGGTAATGCTTCCTGCGCTGCTGTGTTTCTTTTTGGGAAGACAGGGTTTGTTCACGGTCTCCCACATCATTCTGAAGCATGAAGCATCCTCTCTCTGGAGGAAGGATGCTGGTTTGGAAGAGGGTTACGTTCTTTGTCCCCATGACTTGGCAGGCAAAACCTGAGAGGTGTTTTCTAGCTCTGTAAGACCAGGTTCAGGCTGTTTGGGCTCAGCTTTTCCTGTGATGCTGGCACACAGGGACTGGCCAACCCACCCAGTGGTGTAGCTGCTCTCAGCAGGGCTCCCTACGCTCAGCTACAGGGGCTGAGAAACCCTGAGAGCAGAGTGGGACCAAGACCTCAGGGCACTACAAGGCTGGAGCTGGATACCGGCCAGCTAATGTCACCTTTGAAAGGTTGTAGCTGTCGGGGGAGGTTCTGATGGGTGGAAAAACAGCTATCACACCCATGGAAAAAGGCAGGAGGGATGAGGCATGCTGGGCAACCGCACTGGTGCCACTGGGAAATGGGGAGTCGAAGCCTCCAGGAAGCTGCTGAGGTGGGGAAAAGTCCTCATCCTGGGAGACCTGTAGAACACATCTGGCTGATTTGGGGTTGTGGGCAGCTTGGGATGACCCCCCAGGCCTGCTCTGCTTGGAGCAGGAGATTGGGGAAGAGAGTCTAGAGGTCCATCTGGCTGGGGCGATGCAGAGCTCACAGGGAGGGGTGCTGAATGCATGTCAGAGTCGATGCAGGGGGATGGGAACAGAAATCAGAAATGGGAACACTTCTTATTTGTGCTGTGGAGTCTCAACTGGTCTGTTTGAACAGCAAAGTGACATTTGATTCACACGAGTTGTGGATCCCAAGGATACTCAAGAAGTGGTGCTGGTTATTACCACCGCTGTGAAGTGCACGGTGCCGGTCTGGTTAGCTCTGGATGTGGGACTGGAGGATTCCCACTCTAGTGGTGGGACTGGAGGAGGATTCCCACCACCCTGGACAGGCTCAAGGCTGTTTGCTTTGGAGGAGTTATCAGGTGAGTGGCCTCAGGTCTGCCATACATGGAAGCCTGGTTTTGAGCATCTCCTGGGACTGGGCTCCTGGTGCGAGACCCTCTGAGGTGGGTGGTGGTTCTGCCTGGGGAAGGAGCCTGGTCCCTGCTGCTGCTCTCCTCTCCTCATGGGCTCATCAAAACGTTGGCTTTAATGGGCTGGTTTGAGCACTAGTCATTAATTTGATTAATTTTGGATTGCAGGCTGGCAGCATCCTCTCCCCATACTTGCTGGGGGTGGGCTGCTTGACCACCACAGCTGCTGCATGTAGTGGGGCACGTTTGTGGCTAGTGAGGATCAGCTCCTGGGGTGGATCCTGGGTTCCGTGGCTGCTTGCTCAGGTCCTCGTTGCCACGAGTCCTGCCAGGCTCAGCAGCAGTGCTCTGCAGGGGGAGCTGCCCGTGTGCCTGGCACCTGCAGGGCTGGGGTGGCTGCAAGGAGCCAGGAGGGGTCAAACCCAGCACCTGAGCACGTAAAAATCCTTTGCATCAGAGAAATCCTGTTGGGTTGTGGACAGAGCTCATGGTTAATAGTCCAGTCTAGGCTGGGGCTGTTCTTTTTTCTCCCTGGGTGTCTTGAGCAGCCCAGCACTGAACTCAGATACTGCAGCCCAAGGGAAAGCTTATGAAAATAGACTTGCCCAAAGCTTCCTTGGCTTCTGAACTGTGGAGCAGCCGATCAAAACCAAAATGAAGATAGATGTGAGGCAGGAGCATGAAAAGAAGAAATGGGTAATGTCACAGTCCAAAAGTTAATCCCATTTTTAATTTTAATTTTATATGTGAATCCCCTTTTTGGAGGCTCTCTCCAAAGGCCAAGTTTCCTGGTGTGTGCCAGAAATCATTTCTCAGATGGATTCTCTGCTTGGTGATTTGATGCAGCAGAGGCTTTGCATCTTAACAATAAATAAAAAAACCTTCTGAAATTCAAGTTATTTTATCCTAATCCGCTGCTGTCAAGTAAACACTGACAAAGGTTCCTTTGTTTTGAAATAGCCACCGAGAGAATTTGTTCAACAAACAAAGATCTAGATAAAAAAAGAGAACAGACAGGTCTATAAATTCTAAATGCAGGGGATGCCTTGGGAAGGCTCTAGACACGAGAGATGGAGTTTTCTGTGCCCTCTTCTCCTGTATAGAACTCAAAATGTTTTGTGTTAAAATTTTCTTTTAGTTTTGCTTTACTGCCATAGTCAAGCTGTGTTGGGGCAAGGGGCTGATGCTGAAAAAGCACCAAAATCTGTAGTTGTGGTGTTTGTGGTGTGGCTGGGGAGGGATTTGGCAGCGGTGCCCCTGCCCGTGGCTGTGCCCTGGTCTGGTTTTGGTGGTGATGTGCGTCCCGCTGGTGGAGCGTGTGGCTGCAGAGGATTAGTGGGGGAAAATAGGTTATTAAGTGTTAAAACTTGATTAGACGTGGCTGGAATCTTGCCTGCAACTGCTGTAGCTAGTTTAAAAAATGGAAAGACTTCAGGTTTCTCCTACAGCTGATTCCAGCGTGGTAGGGTGCAAGGTGCTGGAGGAATTTGCCACAAGCCCAGGGGTTGTGTAGGACAGGTCCTGGTGGTCTGAGGTGTAGGCTGTGGATGGATGTGAGAGGGCTCTGATTTAATTTCAGCTGACCTTGGTGGTATTTTGATACCAGTGGCTTGAGGGGTTCCTGTGGAT